TCTGGTGCAGGTGAGTATTTATTAACGAAGGGAAAAACAAACAACAAAGGCACTGGGAACATGAAACTGGAACCTAAACTGGGTAAAACTAACAAAACAAACCAGAAACGAAGATGCAGGGAGGTCCGGGGAAATACACATGGAGAGATGCAGGGAGACCGAGGGGAAACAACACAGACGAACCAGCAACTACTATGACAGAAGACACAACTTAAATACACTCAGAGAACACAGGGAGATTACACACAGGTGGGGAACACAGCTGGGAGTGATTAACGTGACGAGACTAGGGAGGCAAACACTAGGGAAAACACTCACATAAGACGCAGACCTTCACAATAAAACAGGAACTACGCATGAAAGGACACAAACTAAGAAACGCGGACTAGATACAGGAACACACGGGCAGAACAGAGTAAGCACTAAACAGAGAAAGAACAGAAAACACAAAACGTTGGGTCAAAAGGACCCAGGATCATGACAAACGTGGCGCACAGTGTGACGTCAAAAAAGGCGCACACCTTTGATGCTGCGTTTTCTCCGTTTTCCTCGTCCACACGTAAATGCAAAAACTGAGTTTTCGGAAATACCCACCCTGGCAGGCGCTTTTTAAAAATCTCAGATTTCAGTGACCGAAAACAACATTTACGTGTGGACGAAAGGTGCAAACGCATAGAAAAACCTCTGTTTTCAAAAAAAATTTCAAAGGCTACACACTAGCTCAGATAGATTTGAAAACGGCGTTTTCATCTGCAAACGCTCCGCGTCCACACCATTTTCAGTTGTTTTCACAGAGTTGTACGTCCATATTGAAACGGCCAAAAATACTTACGTTCCAGTCCTGTGCATGCGCAAAAGTGAGTAAGAATTAAAGAATTTGAAGAAAAGCTATCTTAAGCATGTACAAACTGAAATTAATCTTTTTTAGGGCTGTCAAAATTGAGAGCAAACAAAACAACTGCTGTATATTGCACTCCGCTATCTTTGTTTGATTGGTCACATGACTGTATCACATGACTAAAACGTATCATCGTTTTAGAAAGTCTGCGTTTTCGAGTGTCCACACTGAGGCCAAAACGGAGAGAAAACAATGCGTTTTCAAACGAACACGCGTTAGTGTGGACGTAGCCTAAGGAACTTGGAAAGAAAACCATCTGGACTTCTTTAAGTTGCTTGAAGATGTTTCACCTCTCATGTCCCCCCAAGAGGGACAAAGAACCCCCTAATGATCCTCTACCTAATCACACGAGCAAAGGTGTGAAAACAGGTGCAGGTCACAATCAGCCAAGGTTTCGGCTGAGCTCATTGTGAAACCTAACCCCACCCATGGAAATCACATGATAGGGTGGGGTAAGCTTCTCAGATGAGAGGTAAAATGTCTTCAAGCAGCTTCAACTTCAAACAACTTCAAGCAACTTAAAGAAGTCCAGACGCTTTTCTTTCCAAGCTCCTTAGACTGCTTTGAGCAAGCACTGTTCGCAACAGGAAGGTTGGGAGTTGAGTTTCCTGTGGTGGACAAACTAAGCAACATTAAAACTCAGAAGATGACTGAAGTGTGTTTCTTCTGTACTTTTAAAATTTTCATTTAACAGCCGTTAGAAATGCCAATACTGATACATCGCCGAAACCAGATTAGACTTTGCCACATAAGACCTAAGATAAAGATTATTAATAGCAGGGCTGAAGTGTACAGGGCTATAGTCTCTAATTAGATTCAGACAAACACTTCAAAACTGTAAGGATAAATCAGCAATGACCCAAAGCATACTTCCAGGAGTTTCTCAAAGCAAAGAAACACAGCATATTCTTTAAGCTACCCTCTAAAAAGTAATTCAGAGGCTTAGTAAATATCACTATAAATATAAGTTAGATGAGCCTGATAAAATCTGTGAATATCCTTTTAGTAATTATTTGAGTTTGATAAGTTGAAATAAATGTCTAAAATGTTAAAGTATGTGTTTGTTTTAAATTAAGGTATTTATTTACATTTATCTCAGATAAAAAATTCAGTATGTGTTTCACAGAATACCTTCTGTGTATTTTTGTTTAAAATATAATCAAACTATTTGAGAAATAGGTATCTATACTCATCAGTTAATTATTCAAATCAATATTATTTATTGTCAGCAACGACAACTGAAAAGTGTAAGTAAAACACGATAAGGTAGAGTAATTGACTACCATGAGCCTTTTCCATTGTTTTGTTCATTTTGTTTTTTAAATATTCTGAGCTTTTGTGTTTCTGAGCTCCTGGTTTGCCATTTCTCCTTCAAGTATGTAAGGCTTTGAGCTAAAAGGGAAAAGGCTCTTTTCTTTTTAGTGCTTATTTATTTCGAGTTATGTGTTTATGAAAATTCAATTTTCAAACACATGTTAAAAACATGTGGTCATTTTCATACATGTATTATGAAACACACAACTACATATTAGTTTGTTTGGTTTTTCAGACCTAGACTACCAGTGAAATATAATAACATTCATATTTGAATTCTAGGGGGCGATTGTGGCTCAAGAGTTGGCAGTTCATCTTGTAATCGGAAGGTTGCTGGTTCGAGCCCTGGCGCAGACAGTCTCGGTCACCTACTGGTCGCCTTCTGGTTGCCTACTGGTTGCCTACTGCACACCTCAGAGTGCCCGGTGGCGCCAGTGTCCGGCAGCCTTGTCTCTGTAGGTTGCGCCATGCTGCCAGGCATTGTTATTCAATTGATCACAGTGGCAATGTAGCATGCCATCACCAATGTGTGTGTGAATGACTGAATGATTCACACACAGAGTTGGGGAGTAACGATTACTTTTTTCAAGTAACAAGTAAAGTAAGGGATTACTATTGCAAAACGGTAATTAGATTACCGTTACTTTCCCGTAGGAACACTGCGTTACTAAAAACGTGATTTTTTTGCGAGAATGTCTCATGACAGTGACGTAAGCAAGTGTGACTTTCGTGACAACAGCTGTGTGCAGAGCAACAATGGATAATATATCAGTGCGGGCGAGAGTATGAGTGTGCAGCGTTTAAAGCGTGGAAGTACTGATCTTACTTTGAGTTTGATTCCATAAAAAGTGACAAAAACATTAGTGTCCGTTGTGCGTGGGAAGAAAACTTCTTTTTACAGCAAAAAAACCCCTAAACTTCCGAACAAGCACCGAGTAGCTACCACGTAATGGGAAATTCACAGAGAAACTCGCGGATTCTTCCACTGACTGCTGCGGCACACCTGCACCAGGGTAAACCTCCGCCTACCCCACTCCTGCTTTACAGGTGAAAATAGAGCAAAAGGACCGCTAGTCTTTGACTTTATTTATTTTCTGCTGTGTTTTACTTGCATCTATTTGAAAGAGTGAGTGTAAACACACAAAAAAAAAATGTGCTGGAATGTGCAGAAAATAGGTTTAAATATTAAACTAATTTCTTCCAGTCAGAGAATGTTGCATATAATTACATTTATGCTTGATGCATGAAGTTAAAAGATTAAAACTAATAAAACAAGTTTAAAAAAGAGACTTTTCCATCTGATTACATTTTGTATGATGATTATGCAGAAAAAGTAGAATTGGGCTGAAAGATCTATCGCTTTATCACATCTTCAGGTTGTAAATCCTGTTTTTAAAAAGTAACTAAGTAATTAATTACTTTTGAAAATAAGTAATCAGTAAAGTAACGGGATTACTTTTTTGGGGAAGTAATCAGTAATTAGTTACTGATTACTTTTTTCAAGTAATTTGACCAACACTGTTCACACACACATTCAAGATGACTGAATGCAGTGTAAAGCGTTATACAAATACAGGCCATTTGCCATATTTAATATTAAGTACAATTTTGATTACATTCAGTTTACAATATTAAGTAAATGGATTAAGTAAATTGGAGAATCACTTCTGGACTGTAGGCAAAGCAGTTTAGCACCCAGGGTATTCTTTGTAGTAGGAGCTATGGCTGCAATAAGCACTGTCTTACTGAAAAATGCAAGCCCTCCCCAATTATGCTTTAATTGTGTATAACATATGGGTTTATGAAATTTGCAAATCTTGCAAATCTTGTGGTTTCTCAATTTGTTGAGGGGTTGTACATTGTGTAATGTGTTGAAACAAAATTATGCAACAACAGTTGCCCTTTGAGATCTGGATTCAAACCACACCAAAAATCAAAGTTAAGTTTTTCCTAGTTTTTTGAGAATCACTAAGCACTAAGTCTACCTAGATATGCAGTCTATAGTCTACTTAGGGTGGTAGAGGAAGCTATTGCTTTTCAGAAATTTGGTGGCTCCAGGTATTTTAGTTTGTTTTTTCTATTGTGTCTTTACTGCGACAGTGCAGTGGAGATAAGACCAGACAGCTGGGAGCTGAGAGAAAGAGCAGAGGGAGGCAAACGGCAAATTGAAGTGAATTTGAACCCCGGCCTCTGCATTAGCCTGTCAGTTTGTAGGTCACCTACTCAAGATGCTTACTAAACTCCCTCAGATTTCTATTAAGAATTCTCTCTGTATGTAAAGGATTCTCGCATTTGAGCTACCAGTGTTTAACCAGAAACATCATAAGAAAATATAACTCATAAACCCAGAAATTTAATCTATGGGGCAAAACCATATTTATAAAATTAGACCTGTGATATATAGACAGTTACCCTAATGACCACTGAAATTAAAACTTATTGAGATAATGCTTCTAAATAACTGCCTAAGGAAGTGCCCCGATGCGCTTCAAGATGGCTGCCGAGTAGTGACATTTGCCACCACCATTATTAAAACGTCTGTATTTATATACAATAAATAACCACGTAGAAAAAGTAAAGCGGGTCTAAAGTCCGCTAGATGGCGTAATTACACATCTTTAAATACAATACCAGGTGTAACGTGGGCTTCCCCATATAATAATAATAATAATAATAATAATAATAATAATAATAATAATAATACCATTAATATTTTCACTGACTGATGTCCTATGTCACCTCACCCCACCGTGAGTTTGATTGTTCGGTCTTGGACAGCATCGCATGGACTCAGCTGGAGTCTTACTTAAGTTTCATTTCTCTTCTTTTGCGTCAGCAGCAATAATGCTGCTCCTTTAACAGTAGCTTCCTGCATTCTTTATGATGTTCCTGCACGGTTAGTCTGATGATGCAGGGGCTTCAGCCTCCCTCCCATTTCTGTTTTTCTGCTAGCTGAAAACTGATTATTGACTTCTTTAAAAAAATTAAAAAAACAAGACTTCACCTGAAAAGCGTATGATGTTATGATATACATTGGTCGTGTCATCACACAGAGCATAATTTACATTATTACTATTATAATGGTTCCAGAGGAACAAGAAAAAAAAAACACTTATTATAATAAAACTTATAAAGAAACTAGAGTTACTGAAGTGTGACATTAACAGTCGGTTTCGCACTGTCCAATGTTTTATAAACAATTTGATAACCATGAGAAAATGCCGAATACCGGCCATTAAAAAAAAAAAATCCACATTCACGTTTAGAATCATTTTGTATACACATAATGAGACTTCTACTGCTACTACTACTACTAATAATAATAATACCACTAATAATGCTTACCGTTAAACCAAGGTCCTATTTGTCAACTGATCCCAATGTGAGTCTGATCGACAACAGCGGGACTTGGATATCATACCCTGGACTCATCTTGGCTGCAACCGTTGGTCTCAGTTAAGTTTCATTTCTCGTCTCTTCCGTCAGCAACAGTTTGGATATAATAAACACGGCCTTAACCCCACCCACCTGCCCTGGTTCACAGACAAATGCTTGGTCATCGAAAAAAAAA